CCCTTTCATTTTTTCCAAGTCTTGGTGGAGTGGTTGTTAAAGGGCAGCCATAATAGAGCCACAGAAGAAATACAAGGCAGCAGGGTACGGTTTTAGACTCGGAACAGGAACATGTCATGTCCGAATACAGATTGAGCCAAACCAATATTCATTCCTTAAATGAACAAAAAGGGAGAAAAAAAAGTCAGACTTCTGCATGAACACAAATGTCTCCTTGTCATTTTACAGTTCAAAAGTAAAATATTATTCACCGGGGACGCAGTGAGCAGCAGCATTTAGAAGGTCTGGCTTTATGAATGATGTTTTCCTAAAGGTGCAAGGAGTGCAGAGTGAAACAGTCAGACTCTGTGTAAAAGCACATTTATTTAAAATTACGATTTTTGGCGGTGACTTCAAGAACACCCAAGTATCTAGACATCATGTGGCACGTGGTCTGTGGCATTGGAAAGTAGTAAACTCCAAAAAGCCTCTGGCAAGCTTTTTTTTTTTAAAGAAGGGGAACCAGAATCTAATCAAAGACTTGGTACATCTGGTCAGCATTAGCATTTAGTTCTTCAGGGTCAGTGGGTGAATATTGTTCACACTGAGGCAGCAATGACTGTGCCAGGAAGCAATTAGATGGGGAGAAAGTAGTTTCTCTCATGGAGCCGTTTTTCCACACTTTATTTTGCACTCATTTTTAATTTCAAGAGAACAATAAATGCGAGGTCAAATATTATCGATTTTGAAACAATTTCTAGAAAAGATGTCATATGTTGTACATGCAGTTAAAAGATAAATGATACATTCAGTGATAAGAATCACCTTTGTTCTGTCACTTTAAGAGGTTGCCACAGTGTAGCATCCCATCATCATGGGATCAGCAACTGTTGCCTGACTCCCCACTTCATGCATTGCCTGATATTTGTGAGTTAAAAAAAAACAAAACGTTTTTTGTAAAATGTACAAAATGAGATCTGGCGTTGAGGTCCTGAAAAGGCCATGGTGTTCTGAGTAGAGATATTGTACTGACAAGAACATGGTGGTTGCTTATTGCCATGCAACAGTTTCTACTCCGCTACCTTGCCCTTTTCAAAGAGCTCATCAGAATATCATTAGTTAGCCATGACCTATGCTTGGTGGACGTTACCTTCTCTCTTTATCCAGACCTGTTGACCTGATAATGAGGAACTTATGTTGACCTTTGCAGTATTACTTTAGTTCAGTCAGCACTCTGGGAATGTATTAGTCTGATTGTCTGTAAATAATGTGTATATATAAAGGGTCAGAGTGCTGCAGTGGTTAGAGCCCCACTTTCCACCAGAAGGCTCCCAGTGCTGCAGTGGTTGGAGCCCCACTTTCCACCAGAAGGCTCCCACGTCACGTCTCTGTATCACCCAGTCACAGCTTCAACCATCTGAACCTTTGTTAAAACATCAACCTTTGAAGAATTCCAGCTGTATTGTCCACACAGAGGTGCTACAAAACCACACAGAGGTTTCTGTACTACCATCAATTGTAACCGGTACAAATAATTATGAAGCAGAGGAATTGTTGTCAGTGCAGTCAGTTGGGGTTTATCTGTAGAAAGAGCAAACACAGGGGCAGACGACTCTTTTCATGCCGGTGATGAGGAGATCATACCAGACAAGGACTCCATCCAACCATCCAGCTGAGTTCTGATTCTGTGCCACTGAAACAGAGCAATACCCCGGCGTTCAGATGAAGTGCCACTTCTACACTTTGGCTGCCAAAAAAGCTCTCGTGGGGAGGATTGCACCCGGCTTAATAGGAGTGAAATTTTTGCAGTGAGAGTCTGCAGATCTGACAGCCGGTAGGAAACAATGGACTCAACAGCTGCTCTGAGTCCATAGCTCATCTTGCCAATTTCACCACATGTACAAATTTTATGCTGAGGCAACTAACTTAGGCTGAGGAAAACTTTCATCCCTGCTCTAGATTTACTTCACCCACACTAACACATTCCAAAGGAATGTGTGCTCACACCGGAGGGATAAAAAGAAAACAATCTGCCGTGTCCTATAATGGACACAAAGGTACATATGCAGCTGACTTTTACTCATGAACTTATGGGGGCTGCTGTATGCTTTGGCCTCCCAGCATCCCCCTCTCCTCTACGCTCACAGCCTCCCTTTACTATCCCCTCTCCTCCTCCTCTCTCACTTTCATCTCTCCTCTCTGTGTGGACTGAAAGCAGTGCTTGCCGTCACTGTGCACTTCCCTGTGAAAGAAGCATTCATCGCTGCTGGCGCAGGAACCCTGGCTCACCTTCTAACCACCGAGGGCTTCGGCTTCACTACCCCCAGCCCTTGGGCAACACACTTCTAATGCAAACACTTTCAAGGTAAATGCATTCACACATTCAATTGGGAACAAACTGAAAAAAGAAATACATTAGCTGTGGAGTCTGACAGATGTTGTCTCAGACCCCACGAAGTCAGACCCCTGCCTCATCCTTTGTCCTATGTATTGAGTTCTATTTAGAAAAAAAAAAAAAACATTTCATTGCTGGAATTAAATATTAAGAGTGGTAAACACGCAAAGTGTAGAATAAATCAAATTTGACCTGGTTTGACTCTGTGTCCAATAATTAAAGAGTGTTTCAATCAGCTTATTAGGTGGACATGGGTTAGACTGAGGTATTTTTGGGGGGATGCCTGTGAGGGGGACACGTCTCTGATTTCCTACCATGCATCTATGATAGAGGTGAGCAGCAGAGAGAGAGGAGCAGCACAGCAGAGATTATTTGTGGTTGTCTTACCTCCATGACCGGGGCTGGGGAAGCAGAGCAGCAGGGTCAGAAAGGCACCGACCAGGGCTGTGTGAAGGGCTCTCATATTTTCTTCCTCAAAGTTAAGTCCTCAACTCTCACGTTAAAGACATGCCATTCAGAAGGGACTGAATGAGTTTCCAGTTTTGGGACCTGCTACAGGATACTTCTCTATGTGGAGGGGCAGGGCCAGGGAGGAACCAGGGAGAGGGACGCCCTCCTTCATCCACTTTCCACCCTCCACCCCCCGAAATCACACACAGACCTACACTTAGTGGCTCACACACACACACACACACACACACACACACACACACACACTAGTCTTCCAGGACTGGAATAGAATACAGTATTCTGCCATCCCAGCTGCTGCTGCTGCTCACACACGTGTTCAAGGCTTGTCATTTCTCACACATATACAAACTGTCAACCCTACAAACACATCGCGACAAACATAGGCATATATATACAAAGGTCAGTTTATAAGCATGTTTCCTGTATAACGCACAACTGCAGAATTAACTTTCTTCCCATTTGTCATTTCTCTCAGTCTGGCTGCTCCTTTTTTTTTCGTCAGACTCCCTCTTTTTGTTTTACCAAGTAATTAGAGTGGCCTTTTGAGACAAGCCATCTGCAAGAATAAACCTTTTACTTCTAATTAAAGAAAGGAAAAAAAGTAAGAAAATCACATTGCTCCACTCACTTGGAGTTTTATCTTTTTAGCCTTTCCCTTGATCAATGTCTCTTTTCTTTATGTTTTTGTTCAACAAACCTGCTCCTGGAGCTAATTAAACCCACACTTCAATGTTGACTGTTGGTGAGTTTTCTTTGTTGGAGTTGCATTTACTATCTCTCTCCTATTGATGGGGCAGTTTTAGTGCATATTTAAAGCATTAGAAGAGAAAAATCTTCAACTGTGCTGAACACACTCCCTGACTGCTCTCCACTTGGCTTTTAACTCCTCTTTTCTCTGTGAAGATGCTAACACTCAATTCAAGGTTTTGTATTTTCTGGTTCAATGACTGTGAGACTCATCGTTCATTATCACTTCTGTCTTTGTAGTTTCCGACAGCTAAAATTGGTCTGTGATTAGCATCTCCTGAACACCATCACTGAATAACTTTGAATCTTTTTGTGTCAAAAGTTTTAGCGATTCAAACAATTTCCAGATCATTCACGTCGTCAACGCGTGCATCGTTTCAAATTGAAAACTATCCTATGAAAGGTAAACTATTCTGTTCTGTTTATGTTGGTCCTATAAACACGCTGGCCGGTGGTAGAGGCAGTGAGTGACTTTTGTGTTTTTACAAACCAAACTGTATTTGTTAAAAATAAACAAACATAGAAAAGGAAGTAGAACCCATGTCTGTGTACTGAGGTGGGAGACATTTGAGACTCATTCCAATGATGTTTTACTCCACCGTGATGTTTATTTCCTGGGGTAAAACATGCTGCTGAATGACCTCAGATCACTTTGTTCTACCGACACAGATATAGCCATGTTAGCTCGAGGCTAGCATAAGATGTCACTTCACACAGATACGCTGTTCCATGAGACTATAATATACCTAGATGATTCATCAATTATGTACAATACTGCTGTTAAGTTCTCTGGATGTCAACACATCTGAGACACCATTAGTCATGTCTTAAGTTCCATCTTTAAATCTCTCTAAAAAGAATATTGATTAGTAAACAGGTTTAATTAGTTATAAACACGTTCATAGTCTTTTTCTTCTCCTTTTTGTCGCACAATATCTAAGGAATTTGTCAAGATAGGTACAAATGTTTAAAGTTTTAGATCAGCAGCACCTCCAGTGGAGAATGCCCTAATTGCTCTTGACTTAACTGGCATTCATCCGTTGGACAGCTGCAGAGAGCACAGTTCTTAACGCTGCAAAAGAGTGTGAATGACTGTAGCCGTAGGAAAACCAGTGACATAAAACGTGACATCTGAAGCGTGACCGGATTTATTGCAGGGAACCTTTTCTGTCACTTCAGCCTCTCTGATTATTCCCCACGACACAGACTACAATTAAAACACTCCCTCTGAGCCTTAGCCAAACCGTTTGCACCGATGACATGCTCTCGCCTCCCTGTGGATACATAATTTGCCCAGCAGGGATGTCACCCACTATATATGAGTGGGCTACTGCAGTATGTGAGATCACAGGCAAGTCTTATGCAATCCAAAACACCCGCAGTTCCTTGAGCATAATTACTCCAGATGATGAGTGAACCTGACTAAATAAAAATAAATTGATGCAATTTAAGACTTTTTGGGGGCTTAATAATACATGTCTGTGCTTTGATCACCCGTTTCCTGTGGAGTTTTTATAGGTCCAATGTAAACAAAACCCTCAGTTTATGGACAACTGTTCTCACCAAAATACATCATGTCTCCTTCCTCAAGGTCTAAAAGTGTTAAAGGCATTTTCCACCTTGTAAAAAGTTTAAGTTGAGGCACAAACTTTTTATTATTTATTTATTTTTTACATCAGCATCACTTATCTCCCTTTATTTATCTGCTTTTACAGCTCCACTGCTACATTTTAGAGTAATTTATGCCATGTCCTTGTGCAGATCAGCGTCTATTTTAGTAGAAGAGAAAATAAGACTTAATTATGAATTTATAACAAGACAGAAACATCATAAACTTTTAAAATCTGCTTTCAATAGTAGTTTTGCCACCGGGGGCACTAGATCAGACTGAGAGCAACATTTAAAATATAATTCCTTTCCAAAACACTGCGTTACAAACACGTCCGGCAGACGCATTAGTATTCATCCGGAGTGGCCCTTCCTGTCCACACAAACATTCACACTCTTCCCAGATTTGGTTCAACTCCTGGGGGGAATAACTGGCTTTTACGCAGCTAAATGCTTCATATTCACCGGCATATCAACGGTGAGTCTGTCTGCTGCTCACTGAGGGTCAGGTATTGTATAATACATTATCAGATTTTCAGCCCAAAACTGTTCCCACAAATGGGCTGAGTCTGCCAAGCAGAAAAGCAAATCAATGAGCTAAAAAAGAAGCTAAAAAGGTTCCACGAAGCTGCAAAGACGGTAATAATTCTCCGTCGCTCAGGGGTCATCAAGTCAATAACTAGCTCAAAACTGGCGCACAATAATGAACTGAAAGAGCCGTTGGTCAATGCGATTATTTTTCCTTTAACACACACGCAATTAAACCATTTCTCTCTAGACGTACTTGGAACATCGATTCAGCTCTGAGTTAAATCAAGACTAAAGCAAAATGAGTGGAAGAAGTCTTTAAAAAACAAAAATCTATTTTGAATGAAATATTTTATTTGCTTACCGTTCCTTATAGTTTAGGTGTTGAAATTAGACAGTGCTTTATTTGCTTACCGTTCCTTAAGCTTCTCTAATAAGAAAATGTCAATGTCTTTTAGAGACATTTAAACAGACGTCATACATAGTTTAGGTGTTGAAATTAGACAGTGTAACTTCTTACTTCTGTCATAAAACTATATGAATTATTACCTTTATATCATTGAAAGGTTTGATTGTGTGTTGACGTAATCACAGCAGCCTCTGTCCACCGTCCTCCTAACAATCTGTCTCACCATGCTGTGGTTGTCAACTCAACACAACTCAACAGATTAAATCGAAACGTCAAACCGTGTTGACGTAATCACAGCAGCCTCTGTGGACAAAGTATTGGCTCCTCAGTGATCTTCAGCACAGCTCTGAAGCGCCACTTTCACCGCGCCGTCTCAGATTTCAGCCTCGTGTGTAGCTGCAACCGTCTGGCCAGACCACCACTATGTTCACAAAGAACCAGACTTGATTAAACCACAGCAACTATGTCAGTATTGTTTTTTTTCCGAGCACGGGAGCCAAGTTCATGATAATTACAGCAGTAGGTTTTAATCACAATGATTTACTACAGTAATAATCTGGTGGACTGGGGAGGGAAAGGACGGCCTGGTATCATCGGCAACAGAATTGTTTCGTATTGTAAAAAAAACATCATCGGGTGTAGAAGATATCATTTTTCTAGGCCCTGGAATGAGGCTGCTTTGTTGTGCTCTGTTCTCTTTAAAGCTCACTTTCCAAGGCTCAGCTTTTTCTCTTAGTTGCCTTTATTGTTCTTCAAGGGCCATTGAAGAGACAGGGCACGGAAAGGAACATTCCCAAAACACTGCTATTAATCTATGACTCACAATTATTTTCTTTTCCCCTTGAAACCAAAATATAGAATAAACTGAAACCACCTGCACGACATCAGTGAGCCCTGAGGATGAGAGGCTGCAGGTTGAACCCCGCCCGCACCCCCTCCCCAATAGTCAACACAGGTCAACACCTTTGATGAGAAGCAGTGATGGAATGCAGGAAAGAGAGGTGAAGCTCAGGGTGACCTTGATTCTAACAAAGCAAGTTTTTCAAAAAGGTAGTCTGTGACAGATCATCCATGACTTGAAACTCAAATACAGCAGAGGACTACCAAAATATATTAAATGTTTAACTTGATTATATTCCATTATATCAACAGTATATTGTTCTACGGGTTTTAGATGAACAGCGTCAGACTTTTCTCAGAGGGGAAGAGTAGGAAGTATTTTCATATGTTTCACTGGCTAAACACAAGGATGACTTGTTAGCTGTAAGTTGACCACGATAACCTCATTTACAATAACTAAACAGGAACCAAGTCCTGTTGAAATGTTCACGTTGATTATATTTCCTAACACCCACTTTCTTCTAGAGTAATACTGTACTGTATACTACTACACTTGGGTTAATGGCCAATTAGCTAAAGAACTGTGATCAGTCATAACAGCTGATTTGAAAAGCTCTGTATTGTTATGCATCCATTAAGGTAAGGAGTATTAATCCAAAAAATATATCATATATATATTTTTAACTTTCCTCAGTTGTCGTCCTATGGGGTTAAAGTGTTACAGTGTGATAATCATGCCTAGCTCTGCCATAGGTGTTGTGAAAAAGGTGTTGATTAGTGTCTGGTGTTGCTAGCATGATGCAATGACATATAACCTTAAGATGTGATGAAATTACAGGATGTAATCAAACAATTGTTACCTCAGAATTCCTGCCCGAGGACATAATGAAAGGCTACTGGAAAGAATCAGTTTCTGGTTATGTGTTTTTAACTGTTAACCGACAGTGGACAGTTGAAGAATGAAGCATGAGTACGAAACATCAAGATGTCATTTGTGCAGAGACGGTCGTGCAGTGAGTTCAGTCGTCAAGAACAGCAGTGACGGCGCTTCCCTTTAGGTCGAAGACAATCTCACTTTTTAACATTTAAAGTTATGTTTTGTAGGAGGTTTGATGACTGATTTTACAGAAGCCACTGGGAAAAACAAATAATGCTCTCGTCTCCACCGTGGCTGTGGGATGGAAGGGTGATGCAAGTAATTAGTCATAAAAACCTGACTCATTAATTTGAAACAGGAATAAACATTGTGCATGTGGAGGAGTACAAAGCCCACAATGCCAGGGTTATCACTGTACTGTACTGTACTGTATATAAGATGCTAAATATTTTATCGCTATGCAGTGTTTCTAAAGAGACTGGAGGCAGCAGGGAGCGCATCATTTCATCTGTTCTGTAGAATGTTTCGAGACAGAAGTTGTTTTCACTTAATAAACGTGGACCCATCAGACACCTACGGAGCAGAGTTGAATGGTAGTCGAGTCTCAACTATATGTTGTTCCCTGAATGGAAACATTGTTTAGAAATTGATTTAAAGCTCTGCAAGTAAATATTCAACTATACAGAAATACACACAGCATTTCACATGTAAAGTATCCCCCCCCCCCAGCTCCCCTTTAACATAGATGTTATCACATTGAATAAACAAAGTGATCAAAAATAAACACACCCCTGATTGTTTGGTTTACACGTGTGGGTGGGCAGGGAAGCAGCCACTGAACTGAACTGCCTGGGAGTCAAGTAGAGCTCTGAGGTCAAGAGAGCACTTAGCACTGCCCTCTGGTGGTGGATTAAATGAGCTTTAATGACCACCCATCAGGCCCATTCCCCCACTTACACCTAAATGTGTAATTGTGATTACAGTAATGGATTGACTGAAGCAAAGGCTGTTGGTTTTTTTTAATATTAGACACACGAGTCGGCAGAAATGTTTCAGTCTACTCAAGTCTTTTGAGTCATACAATAAAAAGATACCCCCCCCCCCCCCACACACACACAGTTATTCATCCATATCAACAAAACTGATGAGTAAACAGTCCTTTCCGGGACATAATGGGCAGATATTCAGGGTTGGTAACTGGGTCCTGGGAACAGGGGCAGAGTTTGAGGTATTTGTAAAGTGTAATTGTCCGTGTGAATATAAGGCCATTACACGAGTGGTCACAAACTGTCAAAGAATTAAAGCAAATGTTTGATGTTACCATTGCTGTATGTACTACAGTGGAAAACTGCAGTGTGTTTTCATACAATATCGATCGATTTCTTCACAATTTGGGGTTTTCATCCCTACGACATCAGCCCTTTCATTCAAACAAATCAGCTCATATGTCAGTGAGCCGAGAGTGAATTGTATTTTCATGCTGCAATCAGTCTGCAAAAGTTTTCCCATTATTCTGTTGCTGCATTTCTTATTTTATGAGCTGTGCAAAGCCATGTGCCAGACCATTCACATCTCAACAATAAAACATCCCGGCGTGATAGAGGAGGTTCTTGTAGCGAGATTATGCACAGTGCTGCACCAATGGCTTCTAAATCACAGTTCTAAAATGAATACGACGGCCTCCTGTGTGCGCCGCGGTTGGACTCTGACGTCTTGAAATGGTATTGACGGTGAAGTCTAAAAGGCAGTTTTGTTCACAAAATGCTCCCCTGTGCAAAGATTTCAATCCCGACACAAACTTGTCGGCGTGATTCAGATACACTGGGTGGAGATGTGTGTATATGAATGTGTAGGCGTTTCACAGAATCAACGCCCACCTCTCTCTCTCTCTCTCTCTCTCTCTCTCTCTCCCCTGCAGGCCCTGTAACTCATCCTTATGAATACACTAGTGCTCGGCCAATTTTTTTTATGTGTTTGGAGGTTTTGGAACGCTCCCCCCCAGCAGACCTGGCTGTCTCCAACTCTCTGCAGCTCTGTTCCCCGTCTCCTCTTCTGTACTTTGGGGGGCATTGTAAAAAAAAAAAAAAAAATACAAAATTGGACTGCATCCCAAGCCCTCAAGAAGCTCAGAGGCTTGGGGTTGACTGATCGCTGGATTTCACCTCAAGCTCCCAGAATGGGGATTGTTGAAGACGCTTTTCCTTTCCACTGAGACCCCTATGGATTAAGGATTTCTGGCTTCTGTTGCAATAATAAGGCCTCACACACTGCCAAAAACACAAATCTGCAGTAATACTCAGCACTGCCTCAACTGCAAATGTTAGGCATTTGCACATTTGCCGTTATGTTACAGTTTATCTCTTTAACTGATTGGCTGTCCAGAGTCATGCAGCCAATCCAAGCTGATAACACACAAGAGGAAGAGAGCTCCCTGGACAGGTTCAACCTCTCACTCTCACCTACGGCCAATTCAAATTCCCCACTCAGTGGTGGCTGCCCGTGGCAACATGTGGCATCATGGTGAGAGGTTTGAATCCCACTTTGGTGGGGTCGCCTCTCTTCTCTGGAGCTTCTGAAAGTGATCACTGTTCTCCAGCGTCAGGCAGCAGGTTAAAAACAGAGGACATCAATGTTATTTTTGTAATTGCTTTTTAAAATGCACATGATTAGACAGCGTGTTAATGGTACTGTAACCTAAACAATGACAATAATAAACATCAGAAAGCGTGTCAACCCACCAGGTGGCACTCTCTAGAACAAAATACCCCTGAGGTAATTATAGCCTCTGAAGTCACATTCATTTTGGTCACCTGCCACTGCTGCTTGAAAACATCAAAGCAAAAACACACTGAACAGCATAAAAACTTTTGGAGCACAGAGTTGAGATTTTTATTTTATTTTTTAGGCTGTGTAACAGACAGGGAAAATGACCAGAGAAAACGTCATCGCCAATTTAACTGGATGTAAAGCGTTAGCTCATCATCAAAGCCCAGAGAATTGTCACGACTGACGAGACAAGACTACACCAATAATCAAACACAGGTGAACCGCTTCTGTGCAGCGACTTTTGTGCTGCCCCTACAGACGACCCTCGGAAGTGTATTTGATACATCAGCTTTCTCTCCGAGCAAATCTGCAGCTGGGATTGATCCACATTAGATCTGTATGGAAATCTGATTCCATTAACAGCATTGATTACATTACAGCAGAGTCACTACATCAGCCCCCTCATCATCATCATCATCCCGTCCATATATGCTCACAATTAGGAAGACGAAAGATGTGTGTTTTGGACACAGATGTCAACAGTCTGCGGAAGCACATTACCAAAATGAAACCGCGGAACAATGCAGTTAACACAATGAGGAGTCATTTACAGCCGGTATAAATGATCAGCCGAGGCCGACGGTGGGCGTCGGTGTAATGACACCACTGATAGGATCAGACGCAGGGCTTTGGCGGGAATTGATACAGCAGCAGATAATTAAATGTAGCCCTCATGTCTAAACAACGCCAATACAGAACCTCGGCTTCTATACGTTTATATTGGAACGCATTGATCGCAGCAGCTTTCATCAGTGTGAGCAATGAATTCCAGCGTAAGCTGGTGTGAATATAACGGGATGCGACTTCCATTGCACAATAGCAGGGATTACCGAAGCCCACTTTCCTGATCTCCCTACGGTCACAAGAAAAGTAATTACTGGACTTTTGCACTTGATAAAACCAAGACTGAGACAAATGGACAGCCTTCTTGGTTTTGGCCTCAAAGTGAAACGCGTCAATATTTCCTCTGCTAATCCTTTCTCCCAGTGTTGAGAGCTCTAAAGTGAGACTTGAAAGACATTTAAGAGGAGGTGGAAAAGCAAGCGGATCGTTATTTTCTCCTCCAAGAAGACACGTACACACGGAGGGAATTACACACACAGCCGCTGGTTTGTTATTCTTTTTATTTGTAAAGTGATTTATCAGATTTTACCCCTACACAGGTTTACTGTTTCAATGTCTATCCAGGGGCTATGATATACTTTGGAGGACTATTTTTTTCCTCTTCTACGTAATGGTTCTAAAAGGCTATTGACCGCTTAGTTTTCCTTAAAGTACCGACACATCGACCAGACCTATTAAACTGTCCCTCAAAAAACGATTCTGTTTGCAGATAGAGGTGAAATACTGTAGCTCCAGGTGTGAATGTTTTTGTTTCTCCTTCCATTGTGTATGTGTGTGTGTGTGTATGGATGATCTGTGGATCCAATGAGTTCTCCACAGATTCTGGTACCTAACGTCTAACAGGTGCAATTTATAAACATTAGGTACAGTAGCATTATGAAGCTAAACCAAGGACAAAATAATAACTAACTTCAGTCGACCAATAAAAATGAGCTGAAAACCAACACTACAAACACAATTGAATCAAATATTTTCTTTTTTTTCAAGAATGCCTTCACCTGACATTCAAATTCAACTCCTCTACAGACCATGTCAGCTTTAAAAGACCATCATCACACGTCCATGCTCCAGAGCGTCTCTCTTTTATTATTTCCATAACTGCTGTGTGAGTGAGAGATACTGTATGAGATATGAGTTCATTCTTCACATGAAGTATTAATGAAATTATACAAACTTTTTCATCTAAAACTTCTATGGACCAGATATTAATAAACGACAAATAAAAGACGTAAGTAAACTGTGACCAAAGACACAAGACAATCAAACATGGTTGGACAGACCTGGTCAAAAATCCTGTTCATTCTCACAACTAACAAATCTCATAAAGTATGTAAAGGTCTTTAACAGGGGGTCTGCGACCCCTGGAGGGTCCACGGATGTATTGCAGAGGGATTTTGTCAGTCACTTGAATTCAAAGGAATTCAAAATACTGAGGTAAGTTTTTTTAAATGATATAAGGCTAGGTTTAATGTAAAAGAAAAAGGTACATAGTGCAATAGACAGCGTGTTCTTTTTTTTAGTTTTGAATTTACTAAATTAAAAAGTGATAAGCTTAAATGTCAAAAACGTTATTTTATCAAACAGAGTTGTGTTTTAAAGAAAATTTTAAAAAATGTTTCTATGTAAAAATTGTAAAAACTGTCCCTGTTGAGGCAGTGAGGAAGGTAAACCGTCTGAACTGAAGTGTTGGGCCGGTGTCACGGCTACAGCTGCGACACTAACCACACACACACCCTATTCTCAATCCTTAGGCATTATTGAAAAATTGTTCAATACTCTCCAGCTGCAGCGGAAAGTCTTTCTCTCAGTGTTTTAAGTGTCCATGACTTTTTGTCAACCCCTTCATGTAAAAGAAAAAATAAGATTAGATTCTGACCTTAGCATCTGCGTCTGTTGTCTCATCCCAAAGATTTGTTGTCACAGAGAGATTTTGTTGAGGAAGGTGCAGCATCGTCTACAGAACAGAAAAGAAAAAACAATTATCACACATTTTGCCTTCAAGTCTTACCTTCATGCATTAAAAAAAACAGCAACTTTTATTTATCCCTGTGGCGATTCAAGCAAAGAGAAACAAGCTAAAGAAAATAACATGGTATAACAACAATAACGACAGGTCAGAGAAGTGTCTTGGTAATAAATGACAACAACTCCAGTGCTGAGGAGCAGATTATATAAACGCTGTATATACCTTATAATATTAATCATAGGATAATTAGAATACTGCACATGCGAACAAGAAGAAAAAAACAGAACATAAATAACAAGGTGAAGTCAATATTTGATGTGTGTGAACCAGTGTTACCCTGCAGTCAAATGTGACAGCATGTAAAATTCATGTGAATAAAGCCATCCTGCATCCTCTTCAAAATGAAGAGTTTGAGGTTTGGAATTGGGGATATTTTGCAAAATGTCACCATGGAGATGGGAAATGAGGTCAGAAGTGGAGATAAGTTTACAGCCTGGCAGTTTGATTGTGCAAAAAAAATAAAAAAAAACCTTTTTTTTATCCTTTTTGCTGCTTCTAATACAGCTGATAATGGAGCCTTTTCTGTCAGTAAATGTTCACATGTCTGACTGGTGGGAGTCATTGTTAGCTTCAAGGTTGGCTAAACTCATTCTGCTAATGATTTACAAACTCATTAAAGACCACAGTTTACAGTTGAAGGGTGCACAGATGGTATACGACTTAGTTCACGTTGTTGCCATATTACACAGGTGCTTTGTTTGTTTCTGAAAATCTGCATCTCACTCTCTGGAAACAGACTGAAATAAAAAGTTGAACCAAAGAGAGTTACTGACTATTGTTCTTAGTAAATCATTCAATTAAATAGTCTTGTGTTGTGAAAAACAATTGTCAATTAAAAGTGTATTGTCAATTAATACAGTCTAATTCTTGTTTTCCTTTTTTTTCTTTTCATTGTGATGAACTGCTGGATCAGATGCATCTGTCACAATGATTTAATTTTAATATTTTTTGTTTGTTTCTGAAAATCTGCATCTCACTCTCTGGAAACAGACTGAAATAAAAAGTTGAACCAAAGAGAGTTACTGACTATTGTTCTTAGTAAATCATTCAATTAAATAGTCTTGTGTTGTGAAAAACAATTGTCAATTAAAAGTGTATTGTCAATTAATACAGTCTAATTCTTGTTTTCCTTTTTTTTCTTTTCATTGTGATGAACTGCTGGATCAGATGCATCTGTCACAATGATTTAATTTTAATATTTAAAAATGTTTTGAGGTCTTTCATTCAATGCTACATTTTGTACCTGTAAAACATGACAAATCATAGACAACCTCTCTTTGCCCCAGTCCAAAAGTCTAAATAGAGCCATATACAAAAGTTATAATTCAATACAGAACAGAACCAAAACTTTTTTTGGAGAAAAGTGGCAAAAGAAGTTTCACAGATTTTTTACGATTTTGGTAAAGTAGAAAAAAAGCCTCCTTTTAACCCACCTTTAAATGCAAGGCCACTAAAAGGAACACTGTGAGGAAGCGGCGGATAAACAGCAATCCCCAATAAGAACACTTTGTCTCTCGGAACGAAATTTTGATGTTCAGGATTAAGATGTGATCTCAGATTGGATATGAAAAGAACACATTTTTCGTGAAAATATACAAGGGATGTGTTTCTTAAGTGAAGTCCTCAGAAAGAGAGAGAGAGGGAGAGGGAGTGAAGGATCAGAGAATGTATTGGGAGCAGAGCTGGCAAACTGAGCATAAGAAGAATCTCCAGAGAAGCCGACGTCTCTGAAGAGCTGGAAATAGTTTGATATTTACAGCAGTGGGGATTATAAAACCCATTTGGGTCTTTCTTGGCTCATTAAGGATGAAAAGATTGAGTGTGCTCGTGGATATTAAATCCTAATGATTGTGGATTTTTCATATTTACTGCCTGATGATTATAAAATGTGTTGTTTGTGGGCTCGGCCAACCTATCATGGCATTTAAACCGATTCCTTGTACTTTTACTCATGAAACTATTCATTAATGACTCTTGATTAGAGGATTACAAAAACTACACACTGTTTTTATTTTAAATGTCACAAAGTGGAGTCTCAGGAATGAAAACGTGCAAAAACATTAACATTCATTAGTATTCTAATTATATAACATCTACTACAGCAGGTATGAATTTATAAAACTGCATACACTTTCCAATCCCGTGGCATAAAAGGCATAAAATACTTCTACTGGTACTCACAATTCACTTGCTGATGCATTTCATTAAACAGGAGCCAGTGATTTAAGTAAAAATGTGTGAATGGTGCTAAAGCTCTGTTCACTTTCCGGTCAACTGGTCACGTTAACTTCGCTTTTTTTTTTATAATATCAAAATTAAGAATGCGTTCACTATGAATTTAATTCTCTATTTTACTATACAGCTAGGAAGACCTACCTCTGAATGGAGTACTACTGCTTATTACATAAAACAGTGACCCAGGTTTTCTAACTGACTGGGCGTCAGTGAGCTGAAGTATGAGGCTGTGAGTGCAAACCCCAACATCTGCTGAAGCGCTGTTGAGCAGATCACTAGGCAGCACGAAGGGCCAGTGTGGCTCTGTTGAGAGACAGCTTTTCACACCACGGCTCATGAGAGCTCACAGGCCTCATTTGCAATCGAGTGTCGAGAACTTCAGCTCTTAACCTGATGGGGACGGTTCAGCGGCCTGGCGACGTCCCTGCTTTTCTAACATTTCCGCCATCTAAATTGCAGCCGGGTTCATTCGTGGCCGTCTCTCGACACCGTGCTAATTGTTTTGATCTCCAGGGCTGACTCCTGTCATTTGCATGACAAACAACTGGAATGACATTCAGCTGTATTATCTTTTTTTTACACCCTTGTTTTGACTGAAATGACTTTTTTGTAAAGTGAGTGTGACAATATAAACCGTCAGAAAGTGACATTCAACATTCACCTCCGTACGACCTCCAGCCTTTTAGGGATCGACGCACAAAACCTTGTCACTTCCCCAAATATCAAGTGGGTCGTTTGACACGTGTTAAACGTTTCAAAATGTCAGGGGAAAAACGTCAGGTTTCATTACTTCGGAAAATACAACGCAAAAATGAGCTACTGTATATAAAGTCATATAGTATTTTGTGGTTTCCTATTGGTCATTTAGTTGTTTTTTTCTACAGTTAAAATACTGCAAAAAGTTACAGACAATTGGCAATATATATCCATATATATATACACACACACACTGCAAAAAGTTACAGACAATTGGAAATATATATCCATATATATAACATGTATACATGTATATAAAATATTTATATGTGTGCATATACACACACATTACATCTATATATAATACACACATACATACAGTTATATACTGTATGTATACATATAAATATATACATACACGTGTTGTTATGACGTACCATTTACAACTTTATTAATTTATTGTATTTCATATATTTTATTTATTTGTAATGTATTATATGTTATATATGTACTTATTTTTGCTTTTTTATATATAGGCTACAGGCTAATTATACTTTGATATTTGAAAATAATTTAATCAACTTTCATTTCTTTTACTAGGAAATTCAACAAATAATGTCTTTCCAGAGTCAGCAAGTAATCAGGTTAAAGAACTGAGATTTTATTGCTGACCAAATTATTGATGATTGCAATATATTTTATAAATGAGCTCCGCAGGTTATAGTCCCTAATTACAGTAGTGTCAGAGTTACTTACTTTGTTAGTGACGCCACATCTACAGTCACAGGTCAGAGACGGACCTTTGGAAACAAGCAGAGAAGTTCACCTTTTCAAATGTATGCAGGGACATTGGCTACTGACAAATCACTATCACACTGAAGCAGATGTGCTGTGACATGCAAATGAATATGTAAATTACACATTTCCAAGTCTCACATTCACTCAGCGGAATCAAATATCTCCCGAGCCAAATGAGGGACTCCTCCGTGTGTCCAAGATGAAATATTTCATTTAGTAAAAAACTGCAGAGATCTGAGATGTTTTATTTACGGTGGTAAAATTAGGTTGTACTTATGTAACTTATGTGACTTATGTAATATTCTTTGTACTCTCATATTTTAGCACACTAGACTTAGTGGGGAAAAAAAAGTTGCCACCTAGCTGACATTTCACTGATGTAACAGGTGATTCTCACAAACTGTGAGACGCCTCATTTCCGCAACAGTAAAAACACAGCGCTGTCTCCGACACTGGAAGATCATTTTATATTTCTTAGGAATTCTCGGCATGCCATGACAAGCAAACAAAGACAAAATCCCACCAGACTCAAAAGTGTTATTTAAAGACCTAACAAGACATTATAATACCTGACTCTAACTTACACCTCCAGCACCTCCGTGCCAGCAGTTTGTTGTGAGTCAGACGGTAATCAGTGAAGCGATGGCACTTCTTTCCTCAATGCTCAAAGACACACACAGAGAGAGAGAACAAATGAAAACCCAGAGCTGCTCTCTAGACACAAAGTACGACTCTAGTCAGAAAACAACAACAACCTGCTCCAAATATACAGCTCCTCAGAAACAAAGACAAAAAGGGAAATCTTATCTAAAAAAAAAAATCAGACTCAGAAAATATGGCCTGTGTTCATTCATTCATTCATTCATTCATTCATCCTCCACAGAGTTTCAGCTGGAGATGAAGTTACTCCCAGTTACAGTCAGGTACTACACAGAGACAAACAACCACGACCTGACAGTACACTCATACCTACAGTCTGTTTAGTGTCCAGATAAACCTTTAATTCATCTCTGCCACTGAGTGAAAAAACTGTAATACCCAGAATGCAATGCTAAAAATTTTACATCTGAATTATTTATTTTATTTTATTAAACCTGATTTATTTTTCATGTTCCTCCACAGATTCCTCTACACAACAAACAGGAAACAGTACCTACTTTTTTCAATCATTAAAAAATAAAAATAAAATAAAATTAGTTTTTAGTTTTATTGTAATACCGACTCCAAAATCATTTATTTTTGTTCATTTCTAAAAATAAATTTAAACAACTTGAAAAAGTATTTTAAAAAGCAAAAGAGGAAACATTGAATTACTGGAAGAAGAAGAAGAAGTCGCATGTTGGACAAAAACTTTAAAAACAAACCTGACGGTTCAAGTCAACAGTTTTACCTTAAGGCAAAACATGTCACTGGGCGTTTGGACACCAGAGCTACTGTATCATTAGCTACGACAGTTGTGGTGTAGGCGAACAGTTTAGCCAGGCTACAACAAAACAGATTGCAGATTTATTTCTATTTAATACTACACATTGATTATTTTCACAAACATTAAACCAAACTTCAATTCCACTGCATTTAAAAAGTCACTAGTCAAATAGATGCAAATCAGTCAGACACTCCAGGAAGGACGACCAAGGTCAAAGGAGTGTGTGAGTAGATGATGACCACACACACACACACACACACACACGAACCCGGCTCACTGTTTGATAGACAACATTGAGAACACCTCCATATTCAAACAAACATCGTCGAACTCATCGTCAAATTTAAATGGTTGCCATGACTACAGAAAATCAAATACACATATGGTCTTTAAAACATCTTTTCATATTCTAAAGTGTTTGAAAACAAACACCTGAATTATTTCTCCTGTCAGACGTTGGCAGTCGTACCTTGGGCTCATTAGAAAACTCCCACACATGCTGTTTTCTGCAGAGCTGTTGATTCCGGTGTATACATTATGGTCTGTCCGCTGCCACTCCTTCATGAACAGTATCGATTAACACCATAATCCCTGCACTGATGCACTTTACACTGACCTGCGGGGCTCATATGTGAGCTTTTCTTATTTGTTCTTAATAATGAATGGTTAGTCAATGACAGTGAGTGCAATATCAGCGACATAAAAACCCGCAATAAATGTATTCTCCCATATATAAAAACCTATTGAAACCGCGTAGGCGGCCCCCGGAGCCACGACTCTACAACATCCTACAATAAAAAAATATGATGACAGGATGAACAACATATTGATTCAGTTGTTATTCTTGGTTAAATGGAAGTTGTGATTGGATGTCAAATTTTTCCATGGGTATTGTATGGAGTTTCAATTCAGGCATTTTTTTAATGACGCTGGTGGTCACAGAGTGGAAGTCTGTGATTTTTATGGTCAGTGCCTACACTTGAGTATGTTGTATAATAAATCATAAAAAAAAGCATTGGAGTACTGCAGATATTCACAGTTGGGTCGTCAGAACAACACACTTTTTCGCAGAATAACACACTGTACATCCAATTATTCCATCACCTCCATCCAATTATCACTGCTCTAACACGTTATTATTCGCACAAACTTCAGGGAAAATGTTTTTGATTCACTGAAGCAGATTCAGCTTAAAATACCATCTGAATGCAGTTTAACTTTGGGTTAAAAACAGGCAAAAACAAGCAAACAACAACAACAACAATAAAAACATATTTAGGAATGTTGATTTATCTTGATTAATTACTAAGATCACAATAAATAAATTATCATTTCAAAATTATAATTGAAACATTTATAATAATTAACCATGTAAATCCACAGCTAGACAGTGATTAAACAAGTCACTTTAAAAAAAAAAAAAACTAAATAAACATAGTAGTGTCAATACAATAGTAGTCAGGCTGTGTTATGTTGTTTGTATATTGTTTGTATATTCATATTAAAAAAAAATCTACTTAATTTACAATGATCATCAGTAAAACAAACCTTCACTCTGTCAGGTCTGGGGCAGATGAACTTACATTCATACAGTGTTTGTGCCGTTGATCCTGGGACAGATGAACTTGGATACAGTGTTTGTGCCGTTGATCCTGGGCTCGGCAGCCATTAGAGGCCACTGAGATGATTACCATATAAATTCATAATCACACTGGTTAATGCTGGAGACATTGATCAGCATTTAAAGCTTATAAAGTGCTGACTAATACGTCTTTGAAGATGCAGTTCAGACAGACAGGGATACGATGATGCAACTTCTGACCAGAGCGCTGACATCACCACATCAAATACCAGGGAGTCTGCCACTGGTCCCAGATCACAAAAATAAGTCAAAGTGTGTCCTGCCCGGCAACAACCTACAGCCATAAAATAAAGGACAGAGAGACGTCTTTATACTGTACATACTGAACTACTCCAACAAAGAATTCTCCTGAATCTTCCTGACAAACTTGGTACGTTCACTCATCCAGTTCAGCAAACTGATGCTGTTGGACAGTTTTACCTCCTGTGTACCAGGAGATGGGCTGATGACCGAACGACCGAATGACCCACTTAGCAACAAGCAGCAGCTAATGAACGCCACAGTAGGGTGGTTCATGGATGCCTTTTTAAAAACTCCGCAGATTTGCTCAGCAACGTGACAAAAAGAAAAAAAAAATATGACATTTAAATTTTCTGAACAACTGGGATGTCAACTTCAAAAAGTTCAAATTTGATTATAAAAGACAACTTAGCAGCAAATAGTCAAAGTAAGAAAAATAATTCATGGTCTAGGAAATTTTTCACCGGTCTGAAACTCAAACCAATCCAAACTGAATATTTGTGGAATCCTTGTCTTTGTCTGATCAATGTCACGTCCACTGTCATCTCTCTCCTTCAAATCAACGCTGCGGACAGACCTCGAAGCAGCAAAGTCACATCAGCCTTCACTACTGGTAGGTTCTGATCACATGTTTGTATTGTTTGGTCGCTGGATGGAATCCCATCAGTGTCTCTTTGTCCTTGAGTAAACAATCCACTGCTTTGGTGTGACAGGCCTGGCCCTGCACACGACACACACAATCTAGTAACCGCTTTGATAGAATAAAACCTAACACACAAAAAAGGTGGCTGACGGGTCTGGATCTGCTGAATATTTTTGTATATATACACACACACATATACATATATAAATATATATTTGTTTATATACTGTATTTATATGTATGTACATACAGTACAGTATGTATGTACATATGTATATGTATATATATTCATATATATACATATACACGTACATACATATATTCAATTTCATTGTACCCCATGTTACAGTGACAAAAGGCTATTCTATATATACATATATAAATATATATTTGTTTACATATTTATATGTATTTATATACATACAGTATATTGTATATATGTATTGTATATACAGTGTAATCTAAATTCTCCACCATTTTTCCCATTTTGTTTTGATGTGGGAGTTGAATGAATGTGAAAGGAAGTGCTTAAAATCAACAAAACCACCTTTCATCGTCACCTCAACACCCAACACAATCACACACACAGACACACTCTGTTCAGAAAGTCCACAGTGAGGCCAGCAGCATTTCCCCACAGCACAAAACAAGTGACAGGAAATGCAAATATGTCCATTTAAGGACAGACAGAGAAAATATATATATATTTCTTTATACCTCGCATATAGTTGCTTCTACCTTCTAGATAACAGGGGGGGAAACAGAGAAAGATTTCAGCTCTCTATGTTTAAAGAATATGAAATGTGACTCACCAAGATGTCGTCAGCACTGGACTGGTGACAAAGCAGGGAAAAAACCACAGCTGTTTTCTCAGCACCTTAATCACCCAGGTGACCTCACCTCAACTGTCTCTGGGTCCTAGTGTCCACAACCCAGGGGTTTGACCACAGGTCAGGGTTTTCAAGTGTCTCTAAATGTAAATGTTGTGTCTTCTTTTGACAAGGCCATGTTAGTTATATACACTAGAGACCTTTTTTTTTGGTAATTGAAATCTTTTGGTTTTGAGACAATTACTGGATGAAGTTAAGAGACACACTGATTGGATCTGGGTCCAAAACAGAATATTAAGCTGTTACATCTGTTGACTGAAGGAAATGAACTTGACTTGTAGGTTCTGTGAATGCTTTTTTATTATTCAATCTCAATAATTAACAGTGGTAAATGTGGTAAAGTCAACCTTCTGTGTTGTATTTTGGCTGTGACACAACTATTGTATTCCTTCAAAGTTACAATGTCAGTATCTTTTTATTTGGTAGGACTATCACTGCTAAGAGTTTGATTATTATTAATTCAACATAAAATCTTATGATTTTTTTATAATTATTTCATAACAATCAAAAAGAACTTTTAAGATTCCTGGTAGGAAAACATGGTGAGATCAGTGACTGTACTGTGTTCAGCTTTACTGCTCAGCTCCTGATGGGAAACCTCCACAGCCGTCGCACAACTTTTACACAAGAGAGACCTTTACTTTTTGAGAAAGAAGAAACTGACAACCCTGTCGGGGACCATTCA